GCCGATCGAACGCGGTGATGTCAGAGCCCCTCCCCTACGCGTTACGCCTCTGGTCACGTGGCTTCATCAGGATGAATTGATTGGTCACCATCCACTCAGTGGGCTTTTTATACAGGACTCTCAGGATCCATTTTATTGAAAACCGCATGTGCGTGGCCATTTTCTAAGAGACTGAAACCAAGCCTCTATATATACCAGACTCCTGCCCGTCCTCCCCGCTCCATCGGCTTCACTATACATATACTGCGATACAGATATACGATATTGTTACATCCAAATATACATCTCTCCTCATTTTATTCTCACAGTATATTCATAGGATGCCCAAACTAAAAAATAAAATTATAAAATAAATGCAAACATATTTAAACTAATACATACCCACCAATATGGTCTATATAACAACACACCTGATTATACCCCCCAAGAGAATAGTTTCTTTATGGTCTTAACCCCTTTCACCTATCCTGCCCACAAACAATCTCATATAAATTGTTCAACCTAATCAATATGTCTAAATATTTAAATACCTCCTCCCTCAACAACCTGATTATGGTATCTACTACTCCTACAAATCCCCAAATCATTATTTAACTCAAAAAATTCCAGTTCCATTTAAAACCTTCTCCCACTATATCCCTATCACAGTTTCCACTACTCCTTACAATTCCCCAATATTACTCACTCAAAAATTACCAGATAATATCTCAACTTTCCTACATCCTTTTTCTAAACACCCTTTTAGTTATTACTCAAAAAACATCCCCTTATGGGACTTTATTGCAGCAAACTGGGACATTACACGTATACACCCAAGAAAACTTTTTTTTTTTTTTTCTTTAAATTCAACTTATAAGAAATTCATAATTTCTATTAAAGGGCATTCACTCTGACAAATATTGCAAAAAAGCTTTCTTCACAAAGTGAAAAGACACCCGAGAAAGAGTTGCCCCGACACGGTTCGATCATTTCACATTTTTGATCTTCTTCAGGGGCCATAGATACAGAAGAAATTTCTAATGGACACATAGAGCTAAATCATAATATGTATATATCAACAATTAGTCAATGGCATTGATATCATTACTGTGATAGTACTTACAACAAGTAAATATTAGTCAGAGCAATTGTAAGATAATAGCATCTAGGATGAAGCCGCATGAACTGGAGTCCCAACGGTGTAGACAATCAAGAAGAACAGTGGTCAGATGTCAATCCCATGGAACCAGCAGCAACCAGGAAACACCAGATCACCCTCTACACCTTCTACGAACATCACAAAAAACAAAATGAATTATATAAAAGGTTTATCTCATGGACCTGAAGGATGATACTCAAAATAATAAAAAAAAAAAAAAAAGGAGGACTAACCATGTTGAAGCGTGGCCAATGCATGTGATGAATTGAAATGTTTCTGTATTAAATGGTGAAGATATCATTAATCTCATAGGGCCACAACTCAAGGCAAATAATTACAAGATTGAAATGCTTTTTTCTTCAATGGCAGGGATCTCACAAGTCCCATAGACCAAAAGCCCAAGATCGCTCCGTGTGCAATACTTAAGCAAAGTATATAAAATAGAATACAATTGTTTTCACAGAATTTACACATTTCCTTTGTAAACATTTTGTTGTGTTTTTTTTTTTTTTTTTTTTTCGAATCATTGGTGGGGCCAACTTGATGATTTTTTGATGGACTGATGAGAAAATTCAAAGACGCAGGATGGAAAATGTTTCTGGAGTATATGGATTACTAACAATGTATGAGGCTTACGTTTTGGTAAAGTCCACTAACCGCTTCACGCCGGCCCTTTTTAAGGAGTTTCTGATGGGAGGAGAGGCGGGGTTTAGGGTCATGTGACCGACGTGATTGGCTGTCACGGCAGTCACATGATTGGAAAGGTCCCGATCGCAAGGAGAGATTGGGACCTTTCTGTGGGACACTGACACATGTGCTGGGAGTGTGCAGGGCACGCGCTCTCAGCACATGTTTGTCTAAAAATGGTATGCAAATATGCGGCCGCTCGGCGTCAGAGCCTGGCCACCGAGACGCTGCATATTTGCATACTGTCGGCGTGAAGAGGTTAATTCAAAAACTGAATTTTAAAAGCAAACTAAATGTTGAACTACTTTCCAATGACATTTGAATATTCTGAGAATTTTGTACAAATATTCCTTTTGAAATTCTACTAGTGTATACCCAACTTTAATTTGAAATAAGTTGCTTGTGAACTTGATTAAAGGCTGGTCATCAGAAAATGTAGCTCCTTGTAATAACTTATGCATACATTTTCACTAAAGAGAGAGCACTGAAAAGATTTGGTGATACTGCGTACCTATGACATGTGGAAACTGCACTGTTTTCCAGTCATTTCCTGTCCATATTTATACACACTATATTGCCAAAAGTATTGGGACACGCACATGAACTTTAATGGCATCCCAGTCTTAGCCCGTAGGGTTCAATACTGAATTGGCCCCGCCCTTTGCAGCTATAACAGCTTCAACTCTTCTGGGAAGGCCGTCCACAAGGTTTAAGAGTGTGTCTATGGGAAGGTTGGACCATTCTTCCAGAAGTACATTTGTGAGGTCAGGCACTGATGTCGGGGGAGGAGGCCTGGCTCACAGTCTGCGCTCTAATTCATCCCAAAGGTGTTCTATGGGGTTGAGGTCAGGACTCTGTGCAGGCCAGTCAAGTTCCTCCACCCCAAACTCTCTCATCCATGTCTTTATGCACTGGTGCACAGTCATGTTGGAACAGGAAGGGGCCATCCCCAAACTGTTTCCACGAAGTTGGGAGCATAAAATTGTCCAAAATGTCTTGGTATGCTGACGCCTTAAAAGTTCCCTTCACTGGAACTAGGGGGCCAAGCCCAACCCCTGAAAAACAACTCCACACTATAATCCCCCCTCCACCAAACTTTACACTTGGCACAATGCAGTCAGGCAAGTACCGTTCTCCTGGCAAGTACCAAACTCTGACACGCCCATCGGATTACCAGACAGAGAAGTGTGATTGGTCCCTCCAGAGAACACGTCTCCACTGCTCTAGAGTCCATCGCACTTGGTGATGTAAGGCTTGGATGCAGCTGCTCAGCCATGGAAACCCATTCCTTGAAGCTCTCTACACACTGTTGTGCTAATCTGAAGGCCACACAATGTTCAGAGGTCTTTAGCTATTGACTCTGCAGACAGTTGCCGACTTCTGTGAACATACAGTATATGTTTTTCAGATGATCCAAAACACAATGTGGTATATAACATTAAACAGAAAAAAATTGACCAGTACATCAGATAAGTGGTGAAAATGTCCAAAACAAGTTATCGCAGGATCTTGCTTAGAAGCTATAAAAAGCCAGGATCAAACAGTAAAATTGCGCACTCACCAGACGCGCTGTAAAAAAGCGCATATGTAGTATAACCCCTGGAAATCCCTCATCAGGCGAGGACGATAGATAACCATCAGGGAGCAGATGATCTTGGTGTAATGGACAGCCTCCAGATCCAGGAATCCCCTTTAGACTGGGTGAATAATGAGTGAGGAACTCCCTCCGGTGGCCAAGATGAGTAATAGGATGTCCTAAAATTTATTAGCTCCAAAAAGGAGCCAAAAAACACCTCATAGTGTAGTAGGTAAAATCAAAAAAGTTTGCCCTGTTTTTATAATTATATTTTTGGAATAGAGACACTTAAACAATAAATGATAAAAGTAAAGTGTGACTGACCCAGAAGTAAGATGGCCGCCGGGCCTCCTCGTGGCTCCAGGCGGCTAAAATGTCACATTTTGCTGGCTCCTCCTAAGTCCTTTCGTGCTCCTGCACATCATCAGAGGGGAGGCCTCACTCATTATTCACCCAGTCTAAAGGGGATTCCTGGATCTGGAGGCTGCCCATTACACCAAGATCATCTGCTCCCTGATGGTTATCTATCGTTCTCGCCTGATGAGGGATTTCCAGGGGTTATACTACATATGCGCTTTTTCACAGCGCGTCCGGTGAGTGTGCAATTTTACCGTTTGATCCTGGCTTTTTATAGCTTCTAAGCAAGATCCTGCGATAACTTGTTTTGGACATTTTCACCACTTATCTGATGCACTGGTCAATTTTTTTCTGTTTAATGTTATATACCACATTGTGTTTTGGGATCATCTGAAACATATATATGTTGTCACAGACCTTATATTCATTAGCGCCACACTCCTTATATTTTTGTGTATCTTTGAAGGTTTTACTGTGATTGCCTTGGCTGCTGATGTGAGAGCGCTCACTTTCTTATTTTTTTCTAGTTGCCGACTTCTGCAGACTGTGTGCTGACCCCGCTCTGTCATTTTATGTGGCCTACCACTTCATGGCTTTGTTGCTGTTGTTCCCAGTTGCTTCCATTTTGTCATAATAACACTAACATTTGGCCATGGAATATTTAGTAGCCAGGAAATGTCACCATTGGAAATATTGTACATGTGTCACGGGACCACGCTTGAATTCACTGAGCTCTTGAGAGCGACCCATTCTTTCACAAATGTTTGTAGAAGCAGTCTGCATGCCTAGGTGATGATTGTATACACCTGCGGCCATGCGGGTGTTTGGAACACTCTGAATCTAATGATTCTGAGGGGTCTCCCAATAGTTTTGACAATATATTGTATTTACCAGCTATTTCAGCTGTGATTGGAGAATAATTAATTCTGGTCTAGAATTCCAAAATGTTATCCCCAAGTTATATTCAACTGTATTCAATATTTATTCTATAACCATTTTATTTTCATAATCCTATAGATCTTATTCAGCTTATAACGACCCCAGAGAAATCCTTCAGCAAAGCCCAGTAATCATCAGAGAATTAACACAGGAGAGAAGACTTTTTCAATACTCAGAATTTGACAAGTGCTTCTCAAAGACGACACATCTTTGCCACCAGAAGAAGTTTCACACTGGGAAAACATGTTTAAATGTGTGACATGTGATAAGAATTTCTCAAAAAAGTCACATTTTATTATACACATGAGGGGTCACACAGGAGAGAAGCCATTTGGCTGCTCAGAATGTGATAAGTGTTTCTCGGAAAAGGGAAGTCTGACTAGACACCAGAGGATTCACACAGGAGAGAAGCCATATAGCTGTTCCGAATGTACTAAGAGCTTCTCACAATCAGCATCTCTTTCTTACCACCAGAAGAAGATTCACCAAGGAGAAAATACATTTAAGTGCACCGAATGTGATATGTGTTTCATAGTAAAGTCAGATCTTATTGCTCATCAAAGGAATCACACAGGAGAGAAGCCATTCAGATGTTCTGAATGTGACAAATGTTTTTCCAGAAAATATTACCTTCTGCAGCACCAAAGGATTCACACAGGAGAAAAGCCATTTATGTGTTCAGAATGTGACCAGTGCTTTACGCAAACGACTCATCTTATTCAACATAAGAAGATTCACACCGGAGAGAAGCCATTTAGATGTCCAGAATGTGACAAACGCTTTGTGCAAAAAGCTCATCTTGCTCAACACCAAAAAGTTCACACAGGAGAGAAGCCATATAGATGTTCGGAATGTGACAAGAGCTTTGCAGAAATGAAGTTTCTTGCTATGCACCAGAGGATTCACACAGGAGAAAAAACCATTTCAATGTTTGGAATGTGACAAGCGTTTCAATCAAAAGACAATTCTTACTCGACACCAGAGGATTCACACTGGAGAGAAACCATTCAGATGTTTGCAATGCGATATGTGTTTTACACGAAAGACAATGCTTACTCGACATCAGATATTGCACACTGGAGAAACCATTTAGATGTCTGGAATGTGACAAGTGTTTTATACAAAAGTCAAGTCTTACTCAACACCTGAAGATTCACAAAGGAAAAGAAGCCAATTCAATGAGTTAAATATGAATTTTATAAACATTTCAGATGTTGTAGATATCTGCTTAAAGCTGATCTCGTGCTTCCAGAACATGTTTACGTAATTTGGACCAAGCTGGTCCAAACAAACTATTAATTTCACTTAGGGCTCGTTCACACTTGATTTTACGTCTAACTCTTGTCAAACGCCCCTATAGCGTTTGAGAGGCGTTAGACAGGCATTTGGGAAATGTTTTTGACGCTCCCAAAACCCCTTATGCGCAGTTTTGAGGCGGTTGATAGGCATTTGCCAAACGTTAAAAACCGCACCACAAACTCCTATAATGAAGATAAATGGTATTAGCACCTCGTAACCACCTTGCAAACGCCTGCCAGGCATTTGCGGAGCGGCACCATAGACTTGAATGGGAGGCTTCAACTCCTCCTGACTCAACAGGAGGCATCAGTTTTGCTGTGACGCAACGTGATGCGACGCTAACGCTTCCCTCCCCCCCCCCCCCCCCTTCCCACGAATAGAGCTTTCTTCCGGTGGTATTTGACTGCCTGTGTGGTGTGGTGTTGTGTTTTTTTTTTTTTTTTCCTCCATTTTTTGCAATAGAAACAATATTTTTGACTTTTTGCTATTAAACACGTCCAGTAAAAAATTTTTTAAATCAAATTTCATCATAAATTTAGACCAAAATGTATTCAGCTCCATGTCTTTGCTAAAAAAAAAAAAAAAAAAAAATACCAATACGTGTAAATTAATTTGGTTTACGTCAAAGTTGTAGCGTTTACAAATGGCGGTATTACTGGGATTTCTTTTTTTTACTAGTAATGGCAGCAATCAGTGACTTATAACGGGACTGTGGCAGGCATTCTGACACTGGGGGGTAACTGACTTGGTGTCACTGACATCCTCAGTGACACTAATACAGTGACCAGTGCTAATAAAAAGCACTGACACTGCACTAATGGCACAGGGCAGGAAGGGGTTAACATGTGGGGTGATCAAAGGGTTAACTGTGTGCTGTTTTACTGTAAATTGTGTGTGTGTTTTACACTGTAAGCACACTGCTTTGTATGGCTCTGCATAGCAGAGCCATACAAAGCAGTGTGCAGGAGTTGACAGAGGAGAGAACTGTATTGTAGTTCTCTCCTTTTTTTGCTAGTGCTCGGCGATACTGCTGCAAGGGTGCGCAAAATTATTTTTATATATATATATATATATATATATATATATATATATATATACATACACAAATGATTTTGCATTTCTGTGCCGTTATTCGCGGCCTTGGATGTCCATCATCGGGTACCAGCCAGTGATTGACAGCTAAGGCCTCGAATAACGGCGCGGAAATGCAAAATCACGTGTGTGTGTGTGTATACATACGTGATTTTGCGCACCCCTGCTGCCCTCTAGCAGTATGTCTGCTATAGGGTGGCAGGAAAACTGTTACATTAAATACAACCTGTATCACAAAAGAGAGAAGCCCTATGAAGAACGTCCATGACATGACTTTTCAAAATGTGTTCACTTTTTGTGCTCAGAATAGATAGACTATTCATAATGCTTTAAATGTACATTTCACACTTGTATTGAGAACATTTGTTTACTATTTTTAAGCGTGTTTTTTTTTTTTTTTTTTTTTTTTCACTTCATAATAAAAATGCATGAATACAAAAACACAAGATTACAAAAATGTGAGAACACCTATGGTGTGTGTACTCTTCTAAATTGCCTATAGCCTGTGAATGAGGTAGTGCTATATGATTCACATGTACCATTAAACACGTTGTGTCACTTGTAGAATAAAAAGTTTTAACACGTAATCAATTGTGTGTTCATATAAAACGCTAAAAGATCCAAGATGTCCATCTTTGTGAAACTTCAGTACCAACCCTGCTGGCTTCCTCATTATCCCTGTTCATAGTTATTTGTAGAAGGATAGACTTCCTCTCCATGTTATATGGAAATGGTAACTTCAATGATTGTGGCAACTGGAAGGATGTTTCTAAGAGAAGACTTAGACATCTGTTAAGGAATGTTTTCACCCAAGACTCACACAGCGTTCCACACAAGATTCACACATGCTTATCCAAGATTCAAATGAGCACATTCACTCTATCACAATGGTTGTCACCCGTATTCATAGCTGATTTACTCAATGTTCACTGCGGGAAGGACGCAACATTCATTCACGATCACCACATCCCATGACCAGGGGACTAAAGATGGCTTGTAAAGTCCCACTAAACAATACCTACCCCCCCCATACTTAAAGCGGAGCTCCACCCAACAGGGGAAGTTCCACTTTAAGGACTGCTGCCCCGCTCCCCATTAAGGATTGGCACCTTTGAGGGGCGGGGGGGAGCGGGTACCCGAATTTGACAGGTATCCACTCCCATTTCTGGTCCAATCGCCTAGGCAATCGGAAATGAAAGGTGTCCTCCCTCCCTGTAGTCTTCTGGGACATGTGACAGGTCCTAGAAGACTACAGTACCATTCATGAAGCGCACTGCTACTTGCGCATGCGCAGTGGGTACCTGGCTGTGAAGCTGCAAGCTATCACAGCCGGGTGCCCACACTGAAGATGCCGAACTCCTGGAATACAGGACGGCTGGTGAAACGGGCTGTGGGGGACACACCACGGGGACCGAGGGACAGGTAAGTGGCTGTTTTTTTTTAAAAGTCAGCTGCTGACTATTAATTTTTGACAGATTAAAGTGGAGTTCCACTCACCTAAGTAACCACATTGGCAACAAAATGGAGTTAATGGCCCAAAAACAACCTTTTATTACAACCATCAATAAATAATTTTTTTTTAATTAGTAGAAAACGCAGTATAAACATACTTTGTTTCAAGGTCCCAGTAGGCATCAAGAAAACAAATACCTGCGTCCTGCTTAACTAGGCCTCCATCCGCAACACCACCGACTCGGAGACGCCACCGCAGATACCCCCACCAGCACAACTGGAAGCCGTACCTAAGACGGGTTCCTACAAAGTGCCTTTTCTTGTGCCCACCTTAACCAATGAGGACCTTGCACCCCGCCGGACGTCCCCCAGCACCAATATGGCACAACATGATTCAGAAAAAATGAGGAAGGGTTGTAACAGCGCAAACACTGCAAAGTCCTGGGAAATGGTAGTATGGGGTGATGGTGGTATTAGTGGCTACTGTATGAAGAGCGTAGGATTCCGTGTGGCACTGAGGGCAAGGCTTCCAAATAAGCTGTAGCAACTTCTGTAGATGAGAAAAAGGAGAGAAGCGCCTCTAAGTGCAATAAGTCTTTTAATTCAAGTCTAAATGTAGAAACACTCACATGTGTGAAGTAATCATAAGCTCAAAAACCGTGGTTAACAATAGTTAACGGTGGGGTGGTAACCCGGGTGAAGAGCCGTCATCTTACTGCCATGTGGGGAGGTCAGCTCTCGGCTGGAACAGCGTGGTGGCTGGAGGGCCGCCCTCACCACTTTTCCCCTCCAGCCACCACGCTGTTCCAGCCGAGAGCTGACCTCCCCACATTGCAGTAAGATGACGGCTCTTCACCCGGGTTACCACCCCACCGTTAACTATTGTTAACCACGGTTTTTGAGCTTATGATTACTTCACACATGTGAGTGTTTCTACATTTAGACTTGAATTAAAAGACTTATTGCACTTAGAGGCGCTTCTCTCCTTTTTCTCACCAATATGGCACAACCACCACCCAGACAAACCATAAAACAACGGGCGGGAGGGAGGGAAGTTTGCCTTGTGAAAACTCTCTCCAGCCAGAGAACCCCCTGCCACACCCTGTAAGACCACCCCTTGTAGCTCCCCCCACTCCTTCCTTAAAACTATTTAGACTCCCCCTTATGCTAATGAGACTCTCCTCTCCCAACCCCCTTTAACCCCTGTCATGCCGGCCCTTTGTTCAGGTCTTCTTTTGTCTTACTCCGGGCCTTCCTTTTCAATGGAAAAAGTGCTTTTCTGTAAAATTCTTTCTATTTATTACTCCGTGAATGTAGAATTATTCTGACATTGACCCAACATTGAGTTGTTTTTTTCTCCTTGCACAGTATCCAAACTATTCTCTGGTTTGAAATGGGCAGACTTTGTATTAGGTGCCTTTCCTTAAAAATTCACAATACGCTATATTTCCTGATAAGAGAGTGTTAAACCTATGATTTTAATATAGTAAAGACCCTAACCAAGAAAACTAGTGGGGCTTTAGAGGTAGCAAACCGTAACAATAAACATAAATTAAACAAAAATGTAAGGATGGTATGTAAAATTGAACACCTTTTATTAGGTTAAAAAACCACCAACATGTGGAGCATGATCATCAGACATAGACATCGAAAAACATCTAGCGACTAGGACATCAGGAACAATTACAGTGGCCAGGTCTCATTTATTGTATTTTCATTTATGTTTTTCGATGTCTGTGTCTGATCATGCTCCACATGTTGGTGTTTTTTTAACCTAATAAAAGGTGTTCAATTTTACATACCGTCCTTACATTTTTGTTTAATTTATGTTTATTGTTACGGTTTGGTACCTCTAAAGCCCCATTAGTTTTTTTGGTTAGGGTCTTTTTCAACATAATTCTCTTTAGGGGTGTGGTACCAGTAAAACCGTGGTTACAAGGGTACGGAGAGGTTTCCTTTTTTTTTTTTTTTTTTTCTTTCTCCATCTCCCACCCTTCTATATTGTATGATTTTAGCCATCTCCCACCTGCCATATAAGGAAATGACGGATGGGCGGCGGTTCTCTCG